TACCGACTACTTTTAGATTCCTAACAACTTGCATAACTGTTATTTTTATGTATTGTATTGAAAAAATACACATTTTAAAAAAATAATCAGGTCGAGCGTTATTTTACTTAAAATACCTTATATAATTTGAATATAAAATTAAAATTTAGCGCCACAGTGTAATAGGGAAGTCCAAAGATGGCGCTAGGTATTGGATATTTTTGAAGGGTTCTATAACAGTTCGTAAAGGTTCTATAAAAAGTTAGGAGAATGTCCCTGAGATGGCGCTACAAACTTAGTGATAAACAGATTACAGATTCCCTTATAAAGTAGGTGTTATGTGGGCGGAAGTGCTAGCCAAGATCTTTGCTGCCAACTCCACCATGGACGTCGCCCCCAACGCCCAAGTGCCGTCAATTCAAAAGGTTCCCTACACTATGCGGGAGGTAACATTCAGGCATAAGACCGTAAGACGAGTGCTCTTGTCGCCCGACATCAACAAAGCTTCTGGTCCGGACTTGATTCCTGCCATTGTACTGAAGAGGTATGCAGCGGAGCTTGCTACCTCGAACGTCACAGCTTGATTAGCGATAGGCAGTATGGTTTTCGGCACCAACGATCCACAGGGGACCTCATAGCTTACGTCACGCAATTGTGGAGTAAACTCATCCAGTCTTATGGTGAGGCCCATGTCGTTGCTCTTGACATCACGAAAGCATTCGATCAGCTGTGGCACGCTGCCTTCTTAAGCAAACTTACATCCTATGGCCTCCCAGAAAAGCTTTGCAGCTGGGTGGCTGACTTTAATGCGGGTGTTCCCCAGGGATCGGTCTTGGCTCCGACACTGTTTCTCTTACGTATCAAGGACCTCCTTTCCTGCACGATCAAGCCAATCCACAACTTCGCTGATGACAGCACTCTACATGCAGAAATTTAGAGTGACAAGCCGATCTCTGCCGCTGAGCTGGAAAAAGAAGGCTAGCGACGACATCCTCTCTGACAAGAGACCTGGACACTGCTCGGGGACGCAACAATATTGTACAGTTGAATGCTTCCAAAACACAGTACTGTACTTTGACGAACAAAAAGCGTCCTAGGGCTGATCCGGTTTCGATGGATGGCCGAGTTCTGTCAAAGAGGCTGGTCGGAGTCCAGATCATCGAGGACCTGATCTGGCACCAACACATCTCGTCAATACCTGCAGCTGCTGGGAAAAAGCTAGGCTATTTGTTTAGGGCTAAGAAGTACCTTTCTCCGCATGACCTTCTTACTCTATACAGGGCCCAGATAAGGCCTAGCCTCGAGTACTGCTCACACGTTTGGGATGCTGCTGCCCCGACTACATTATCCATGCTCGATGCTGTCCAGAGGAGGGCGGTCCGACTGATCGATGACTCTTCTCTAACAGACAGTCTCGGAACTCTTTCGCACCGGCGGGCCGTCGGCGATCTAGCTCTTTTCTACCGCTACACCAACGGGCTTTGCTCCACAGAGCTTTATGCCATGCTGCCGCTGCGCGATGTGCCTGCCAGACAGACCCGCCTAACTTTGGCATCCCATCCTAGTCGTGTCGAGCTTCGTACATCCATAAGTGGGCGATACGACCGCTCCTTTGTCCCGAGAGTGTCGAGACTGTTGAACAATCTACAAGAGGAAGCTTACTACTTGAAGCCATTTTCAAAGTACAAGTGATAATGACAATATATTTTGTGCTTATCTGTCTTCCAGGTGACAGTCTATTTGATTGTTCTTTACTCCGCTGCTATGGAGTGTGTTGCAAATAACAGCCTGAACGGTGCAATGCCGAGATAGTGCGAGGCTATCATAACAATTTTAAGATTTCACTGCGTAAAACCAGCAAAACCAGGACCGCCCGACCATTCTAGCTCTATAACATGTCCAGCCCTTCAAAGCGACAAGCGAGCAGAAAATTATTTGTTGTTTCTTGATGTACCACACACCTACCCTCGCTCATCGTTCCGAAAACGTCAATAGTAAAAAGTAATTCAAACATATGTGGTTTCATTTAGCGACCAGACAGTCAGTCTTTTTTGATGAGCTTACCAGCAACTTTAGATCAACCAATTGACCTAGTTTACATCTTACTAAAATGGATACCAGATTTTCTTATACTAAACGTGTAAAAAAGTATCGTACGTCTATTTGTGTCTTATAAACAATTAGAAGTCCGTTGTTTTTTTTGGCAGTCGTCAGTAGGATGCTCGCCACTGAAAAGGTCATCAAAACTGCTCATTTTCACGAAAAAAAGGAACTTTTTGGACCTAAGGGGGTCAAAATAACATTTTTTCTCAAAGACATCACCGTAATGAACGCCATCAACGTCGCATTTAAGTCCACGTATCAAAGAAGATTTAAATCTTATACTGCCTGTTCAAAAGTATGTCGTTTCATTATATTGCACACTAGTAGAATGTCACCTAACTTACGGAATAACAGTTTTGGGCTCTGCAAATGACACGCTTATAGAATTGGTTGATTGGTTGAACAAGCACAAAAATCTATTTAAAGTAATATACATTAAACCTAAATTGTATCCATCCGAACTTTGGTACGCTGAAACAGAAATATAAAATAACATACAAACTTATACTGGATATTCAAGTTTAGGATCCTATGCATCGGGATCTCAATACTTGTCGGAAATACAGCTTAGATTAAATTATTAAGAAGCTGCGTGCTTTGGGCGCATTAACGTACCGTTGAGTAACATTTCATCGCTCACTGAGGTATTTGGGCAACACTAAAATTTGGTCAAATCTTTTAAATTTTTTCTGACCTTATTTTAAAACATATCAAAAAATAATGGAACATTTTCATTGGCACTTTTTAGGCATTACTTGATGGTGTTTTTAAATTTGGTGCCCGATGTTTCGTTTTTGAGAACTTTATTTTTTATATTATCCGAAAAAACAGCACACCCCGTATCTGATATCATCTTTTTCTACGAATTCATCGATGTATCACGTGTTACATTTGTTTTATTAGTTATAAAATTAAATGTGTTCTTCTTCATTTTTCCATTTTATTTAACGTGTTGCAAACAAATGCTTGATGTAAAATTTTGTGATTACTGATAGATGCATATATTATATAATAATATGATGAGCCTAGTGATATTCAGAATAACGAATACATTTGTAACATAATTTTTATTTTATTCACAATAGGTGTTCAAATAGGTTGCCATCATTTTCTAAACATAAATATGATCTTCTAACAATACAATTCAAAACACCACGTAACATTTCTGGTGTAATCATACTAAATCTTTCCAGTACCCATTCTCGTAAGTGGTACTCAGTTTGATAAGTATGCTGATGAACTTGGTTTTTAATAAAATGTCAAGCAAAAAAGTTCACAGGAAGTTCCAATCCTGGATCCGAGAAATCGCTGAGAAAGATACTCTCGAAATTGCCTAGAGTTATGTGCAGGAGAACCGTCTTGTTGAAGGAAACATCTATTAACCTGTGCCAAAGGTAAATTATCCAGGCAGTATTTTAGATCACGTTGCAACAATTGAAGGTACCATTCTACAGCTGATGAGTTGTGGCAAAAAATGGACTTAATATGTTGGTCCCATAATTCCATACCGCATTGATATATGGATAGTTTTTTAGCCCGCTGATTTTTTTCGATATCCCCTGGTCTAAGACCTTGGCAAATCCCGAGTTTATAGGGGTGATGTCTATTTTTAAGCAAAAAAATTGGCATGTGGATGGATTAGGCTACTCCTACATGTTTCTCAATTTGCTTAGTTGATATCTCAGAGTTCTCAGCAACTGAATGTAAAACATTGATCTGAATTTCCTCTAAAGGTCTGAATATTCCTTTTTTCGAGACGTAACAGGATCTTTGAATGAACAATATTCATTTAAATTTTGTTCACAAGGAATAATCGGAATGGTCGCATTCACTGTGCTGGATAAAGCGGTCTAAGCAGATAGATGAACTACGAGGTTTGACGCTCAAAATGACTTTATGCACCACTTTGACAAAATTTCCGCGCTGCCCGTGTGTGCGATCATTGAAAAGATATGTCGTAGACGATCATCCATGACGAACTGCTGCGTACGCTGCGTATGAAAGTGCACCTAATTAGACGCTCGTCACTCGTTACGGTAATATGTGTCACATTCATAATTAATGTTTCGAGAGGGAATATACACAGCAGACAGCAGATTGTAACGTTCTAAATCAGGCATATCCATGGAGCACATAATATGTCGGTTAGCGAACAACGTCATCCGGCTTTAGGCCGTGCTAACGTAATGAAACGATAAAATGCATTATTTTATCATCATTTAATACACTTTAAGTAGATATGACCATTTATATTCAGGAGAACTAGGAATTAGCATATTATGAAAATCCAGCTTCCACAAGTTTGAATCTCTATCATAAGCAGGGTTGTTATGTTTTAATCAAAATGTATAAAACGGGTGTTTTAAACACTGTTTAAAACAATGAAGGTGTTTTAAACCAATTTGTTTTGAACTGTTTGAAACATGTTTTAAACACTGTTTTTGTCGTTTGTGGATTATTCAAGTTTTTTTTATATTTTTTTTTTGTAAGATTAAGATTGATTTTATTTTGTTATTTTGCAAAACGAAACTAAAAGGATCATAGGTAATGCACATAGGTACTAAAAAATATACTTTATTTCTTATTAATTTATCAAACATGAAACTAGGGAACTAATACTACTGGAACAAAATCTGTTTCTTAACGAACGAGTGAACTTAATAAACTGCATTGAACTGTAGTATTATTACCCTACAAGCAGCAGAATAATCATATAAGATGACTATGTATTTACTTGTATAATAACATTAAATAAGTTACTTAACAAATTTCTATAGAAGTATACAACCCATCTCATAACAAAAAATCCTTAAATCCTTAAATCCATATTTTTAAAATATAAAATCATGGAAAATGTACAAAAATAAATTTTTAGTTTTCACTACTTTTTACGGAACTCCAAGTAAAAAAATGTAATAATCTACTTTTTCACGCTTTGATTTAGATGTTTAAATACTGTGACTAATTTTGCCGCTTTTTCTGTACCCAACTTGTTACGAAGTCTGGTGAGGACAAAATACGCTCAAACCCAGCAGATGAAGCAGCTGCTGTATGAACCTGCTGAACTAGGTCAACTGTAACTTCATTAAATAGTCTTTCAAGGACTTCCACCAAACAAGTGGTGTGAGGCCTTTCAAATTATCTTGAAATAATTAATCTTTAAATGGTGATGTTTTTGCCCGATAACTTCAGGATAGTAAAGAGAGGCATACTCAAGACCTTCTTCGCGTTGCTCTAGATTCAATTTAAGTCCTTGGAATCCATGATCTAATATATTTGCCAGATAGTGTGCTGGAGGCATACGAGTAGCCATATGAAACCTTTTTACAAAATGATTTCTATCTGAATCAGTGCAATTTTCATTTTCTTTTCTATCCAAATTTCAATGCATTCGCTAATTGTACAGGCATCTCGTTGAATCTTATCTAGGCCAATTGCTATATGTTTTAACTTTACTAGATAGTCCTGGGCATTTATTTTTACATTTAAATTATTAATTTTTTCCGAGATATGAAGATCAATAGCAGTTTTCTGAACAACTTTTTGATTTGTGCCAGTTCTCTAGATAAGATCCAGTAGAGAGTCAGCTAAAGTGTTCCATCTAACATCTTGTGGCATTACTAGAGCTTTTCCGCCAGATATTTTATAATTACCTGCTGTGAAATGTACTTTATTAATTTCTTTATGAGTTTCTTCAAAGTGGGCACCTGAATATTTTGTACACATAAAATTAAAATGTGTGCAGAACACCCATACGTAAGTATATCAGCTAGAACTGCTCCATCGCATTTTGCTAGTTCTGCACGCATCTTAGTCATATTTGCAGCATTATCTGTCACAACACTCCTGACAGTACAATTAAAATCTGTGTTGCAGCGCTTCATAGACTCAACTAATAAATTTAACAACTATTCAGAAGTATGACTTTAGTCTTTAGTGTCAACAGTGTCAATTAGATATACTTGAATATTTCATTTGCGGACACATACATTATTGAATCATTTCTAATATGGCTCCAACCATCAACAGACATGCATACTGATTTATTACCTGATTCCTTTTTTATTTCTACTTGTAAAGTTGTGTATACGTTACTAAGAAGTTCGTTTCCTATTTGCTGCCGATTAGGTGACTGATATCCTGGACGCAACATTTCCATTAGCCGCTTAAGCTCGGGGTGATCCTCTTCTCTAAAAGCACAGTTTGTGGCACAAACAAAACGTGCTACTTGGATATCAATTTCTTTCTTCTCGCTACATGTTGCTTTGGCAACGAATGAATCTAGTCACGAATAAGATTGCTGTTAGTGTAGTAGGTCTGTGACGAGCCAACAAAAAAGTATAGAGGTACCTATGTAATAATTGTAATAATATCTAAAAATTCAATGCGATTGATTAACAGAAATTTGCTTGTACAAAACAAGAAGTACATAATACTGACCTGTTTTATACTTAAGTCTTATATATTTAACATATTTAAACAACATTTAACAACAATTAGGCATTTCTTACCTTTTTCACAATTCTCCAAGCTACTTAACTTTGAGGAAATAGATTCGGTAGAAACATCATCATTGTCGGTATCAGAACTTTCTGATATATGAATAATTTGTTTTTCTAACTTCCTTGTTTAAGTTGTTTACAATATTTGATATGCTTGCACATTCTAGCCACCAGTGGCACTATATCCATATTGCAGGTTAAACATTTTGCTCTTTTATTTATTTTCGGGTCAGCGTTGGCATCAGTTTCCTTAAAATAGTTCCACACGGGTTCCTTTCTCCTCCCTGTCATTGCCTTTCCTTTTTGTCGATCTTTAATAAACATGCACAAAAAACAAAACACACCACCACGCTACGACTTCGCACATTTGACTGCTGGAGATCGCATCGCGAAAAATTCCCCAAAGGCAAACTTCCCCGACGTCCGCACGGTAGTTTCCCGAGCTGGATGAAAAATAGTAATAACACTTTCAAGGAGCTTCATTAACGTTGACAGATTATATAAGCAATAGCTTTTTTAATTTTTTTTACTGTTTTATACATGTATTAACAGTGTTTTACAGGTAAACATGTTTTTTTTCAGCTAAATTTGAATGTTTTAAACAAAAGAAAAGCAGTTTTAAACAAAAAAAAACATGATTTTTGCTTTTTCCTAAAATACGTTTTTTTCAACCCTGATCATAAGTGAAGAATACGAGATATTTGAATCTCATCTTCTAAGCCAAATTCCTAGTAAAGCCAAAGCAGTTTAAGACTGGACTGGACTTTAATATCGCTGTTATCTCGCAAATTTTAGCAATAAAGTGCATCGGGAAGCTTTACACACATGGAATAAATATAAAAGTCTTGCATTTCTCCAATTCGATCGCACAACTCGTGCAAATACTTCGAAGCAGAAAACTGGTAAGTACATTTCATGTTTTACCATAATAGTTTTAGTTTTTTGATAGTTATAGCGGTCCAAAAAAATTTGAATTACAGATCATAACAAAATTTTGCTATGTCAACAGCCGCACAATATACAGCAGCTGTGTTTCGTAATTATCTTCTATTCTTGTAAATTTGATTATGGTTTATTTATAAAAAATTGAATCGCTATTGCATCCAGCATAATAAAATTGTCGCACATTCACCATTCGTTGGAAATATACTGTCTAGCCTTGTGGTATACACATTCACCATTCGTTGGAATTATACGTTATAGCCTTGAAGGTATACAGTGTATACACGTTCATCTTTAAAAAAATGTACGTTGCCATGATCGAAATTATGTTAGCATTAATTTTTATCATTGTACCTATGTTTGTACAGCGGTCGGTGGTTTGTCGGTAATCATCAACGGAATTCGTGTGGCCAACTCTTGGATATGGTCACCGACAAGTTGCCGACATGCCGACTACTGTACGACCAAATCAGACTATACAATGAATTTAAAGTCATTATGTGGTAGAAAATGTATTATAGCAAATGCGAGTATATACATACAGGTTATCCTATTATCGCTTTTAGTTGTTGTATATTTCTCTCTAATTTTCGCTGCCTCTGCACAAGCAATGGTTTTTGTCAAATGTTTAAATTATTCATCACATGATGTATACAGGATGTTAAAGAAATAACACGGGAGGTAGATTTGCTTCAGATCAGTCAGATGAAATCAACATGACCTTAGTCAAAGTTTTGTAGTTTCCGAGATATTGCCACTTTTGAGTTTTTTCTAAAAATACCTACTTTCTACTCCTTTTTTGTCTTTTATGGCTATAAAGAACTTCTAGATTAAGATTTTTTCCTGGGGTACCATTGATAGTATTCTTTCCGTCGAAAACGAGCACGGTATTCTAAAAGTTCCTCGTGGTGACATAATGCTATCGACCGAACAGTGAATGGTAAAGCGAGATAGTCAATGACATGTTTAGGTCGTTTCATTCCTTAGTGATTTGGATACAAAAGACGGCTGCACTTATTTTGTATTTGTAGAATTCCCAAGTATTATTTTTAGTAGAAAGCACCTACAAATGTTATACTGTTTTTAAAAGAGCATTGAACAGGTCAGTTTTTAAGATCATTTGCCGATTCAGTCTGTTACATTTTTATCACAGTTATTAGTCAAACTTTTGTAAAAGTTTTCACATTGAAACAAAATTTAATAATTATTTTTTTTTTATCATACAGTACTAGTTTTCGATTAAATGAATACTCGGTTATCTAGACAAACTATTAATGGTTGCTCAGGAAAAAAATCATAAGTCAGGAGTTTTTTATAGTCATAACAGGCAAAAAAGGAGCAAAAAGGATTTTTCGAAAAAGCTTAAATGTGGCGATATCTCGAAAACTAGAAAACTTTTACTAAGGCCGTGTTACTCTGGCGTGTTATTTCTGGGCCACCCTGTATATATAGTTATGCTGAGTGACAAAAAAAGGTAAATATCTACATATGTTTATTAGAATTCAAGAACTTTTTACATATCGATTTATCTTGCCATGAACAGGTGATAAAATCGTCAGGTTTTTCTGTAAAGCTTTTGTGGTGGCTGCGTGTATTGTTTGGTGATAAAGAAGCATTCCGTTTTCGTACATTTACGGTGTCAGTTGAATGTTAAATTTCGTGTAGCTTATTGAGAAGCCTTTTTGTGATTGCTCAAAATGCTAACTGACTTTGAGAGTGGTCGAATTGTCGGGTTGCGTGAAGCCGGTCTATCGACAAGAGAAGTTACTAGGCGGACCAGCAGATCTTTACGCAGTATACTGCAGTGTGAACCAGTAGATATATTAAGGAGATTCTGCCTCACTAGTTTTTAAATCCGTCGCTAGAGGCGCTGCACAAAACCTAACGAAATCTGTAAAAACATCATGTGTCATCGACCTTATCGCCTTATCGCCTTATCGGTGTTGTTGTTGTGTTCGCCTGCGGTTGTGATGATGGTAAGGTGTAGTGTACAGGGGGAGTCAAGAATGTTTTATACAGGGTGAGTCAAAAGGTTGGCAGGTAGCCCGACCGTAAGTGATCCAGACAGCTGACGGACGACTATATTAGAAGAATTCTGCCTCACTAGTTTTTAAATCCGCCGCTAGAGGCGCTGCACAAAACCTAACGAAATCTGTAAAAACATCATGTGTCATTGACCTCGCCGCTAGATGGCGCTGCACAAACCTAACAAAATCTGTGAAACATCATGTGTCATTGACCTCGCCGCAAGATGGCGCTGCACAAAACCAAACCAAATCTGTAAGTGTCATTCATGAGTTGTGGATTCCGCCGCTAGATGGCGCTGCACCTGTCATCTGTCAAACGTCATGTGTCATTGAACACGCTGCAAGATGGCGTCACACCTGTCACCTGTCAAACGTCATGTGTCATGGATGAGTTGGGGACCTCACCGCAAGATGGCGCTGCTCCTGTCATTTGTCAAACGTCATGTGTCATTGATCAATTGTGCTTCTTGTCGCAAGATGGCGCCCCACCTGTCATCTGTCAAACGTCATGTGTCATTGATGAGTTGAGGATCTCGCTGCTAGATGACGCCACATACGCACGTCATGTGTCGGGTTGTCGCACCTGGGATGGCGCGCTGGTGTCGTAGAGTGGGTCACATACAGGAGGGGTCGATATAAATTTGGGGGCCCCACGGGGGCCGCTTACAGGTGGGCCGACGGAACGACGGTATATCGTCAGATCGAAATAAGCTCCATTCACATGGTAAGTGTGTGTGTGTGTGGGGGGATCGCTCATGGGGGACACAGACCTTATGCGTATCGTAATTCAAACGTTGAAATCTTGCATAATTGTGAAACACATTTCGCCTCCATTTAGCTTCGTCGTCGTCATCGTCGTCGTGAATGGATAGTCGTAGTTTTTCAAGTATATGCTTTGTATCTTCATATTGACGAATTTGCTATTTAATCACTTGGATATTTTTAATTGGTGTTTCAGAAGCTCTTGCTGCTGCTACTGCTGCTGCATGTTTGAATCTATGAGTGAATTACATAGGTAGACATTTATACAGGGTGACGTTGAAGTTGAGTCATTAATTTTCAGATAATGATTATAGAAGGAAGATAAACCAAAACATGTGTGTAAAAATAAAAAAAAAAAATTAAAAAAAATGTTTACCTTGTTTTA